ACTGTATTTTCTTCTCTTTTCTTTCATTTTCTTCTTCTTTTTTTTTTTTTTTTTTTAGATGGCTACTTTTCGCTTGTTTAGCGCACCAACAAAAGTCGTGCGACATAAACGTGTTTCTGTTTACCGTGGCTTTGCGACTGATTTACTTTGCCGCTGCTTTGTCAGAGTTCCCACGCACGGATTTTAGATACACCCCAGGCATGTTCATTCATATTATGAAATGTAATCTCGTCGGGAAACCATTATCTGATTTGTTTTTAAATCCAAGTCTATTGTTCAAATGAAATTCAAGGGAAAATTCAGTTTTCGCGTGATAATTATGATGGAATTTCTTTCTTTATGTGTAATATCTAACTTATGTTAGATTTATTAGAGTTCTTATTCACTGGATTCTGGATATAAATATTTGTACGAAGGGGTGTGTGAATAATTAAGAGTGTAAGAGGAAACAAAAGTTGGTAGCTGCAGAGGAGGAGTTGAATTTTTCAACGGAATACTGTCAGAGTCGCTTTTTCTAAGAATAAAAAGTTTCAAACTTAGAAATGTATCTGGTAGTACATTTTCTAAACTGTTTAATATATTTCCTTACATAGATTCTATTTTTGCTACACTTTTGCTGTTATTTAATATTCTAAGAAACAGAAGGCGTAAATATGAAAATAATGTTTCCTGTGAAAAGTGTTTTTAGGTAAAGTCAATGGTGTACTAGATGTGACGCGTGACAAAAGAAACTTTCCTTTCTTGACTTTAATTCTTACGAAGCGAGTATTATTTCAAGGAGTCCCTTGTGTTTAAATTGGTCATGTCACATGGTCGTGAAAGAATATTCAAAGGGCTGTAGCGTGTCACGAAAAGAAACTTTTACTCCGTTCTATTTTTTAAGTAAACGAAGTCTCGAAACGTTTGAGAAAAGCTCACGAATCACTTAACGTTTCTACTGGGAAAAGACTGCGGTCTAAATACAGTATTGCTCGAATGATTGTTTTAAAATCGTTTTTTTATTTTTTTTCAAATATTTTTAGAAAAATGCGCCAGTGCGGGTGATGGGTCGATATCAGCCTAAATGGTCGGGCACGATATAAATATGCAAAAAGGAGCGAGGATCTTATACGAGCTACCAGTCGCGGATGTTTTCATGCCGATTTTCAAGATTGATTTCAGGTAATTTCTTCGACGGAGGTGTGCTAGAGGCGGGCCTCTTCTCCACGTCGGAACCAGGAAAAGCACGCATCCATCGGGAAGTGGATGCGATGGGGATCGCGGATGTGGCAATTTGTTTCGTTCAGCTGCCGCTCTCACCTACTAATCTTATGCATGCAAAGTCCTGTTCGAACTGACTGCTCTTGCAGGTAGTATTTTCAAGTTCTGGCAATTTTAATTTTTAAATTTGCCATTTGTAAGAAATTCAAAATTAAAATTGCCGTTACTTTCATTCGACATGGAACACTTAATATTCTTCAAGATTTCAAATGTTAGCGAAACCATTCTGGAGTTGTTTAATTAACGTTAAACAAAGGTTAAACGTACTACGAATGCAAGCTTTGATGCTACCTTCTGTCGAGATACTTTGCAAATTTGTAAGCACTAATAGTAATTTCAAGTTTCCGCTTTTAGCGATAATTTGATTCGATTGTATCTCATTATTTCGACTATCCATTCGTGAATATAATTAACTTCAAGTTGGCAAGGGAGATGGGTCTTTGGCCTCTTTTACCATGGAACTTCTTCGCGATATTGTGTTTGAAAAATTTAATTTTAGATCGTACTAACTTTGCTTACTAAACTTTCCGTAACTTCTTCTTGTTAGCCAGTTAATATACAGTTTCACGATGTAAAATATTTTAAATTAGAGTCGAGTAGTATTGTTCTGAATCGTGCGTGCAAGATGTTGAATTTCTTGTAGAACCGATAGAATAAGGAAATAATAATTTCAAGAGAGATTTTTAATAATTCGCAAGAGGTATTCCGATAAAATCAACCCCGTATGAAGCTACGGTGTCGACACCTCGAAACGAAGTTTGTAATTGACCCCCTGAATCTAACATGATTGACGCCCGCAATTTTCCAACATACTGACGGAGGTCTACATGTGTCAGGGGTAGCTATTATTCCATGTCCCGGTTATAGTCCAGGGTCGCATTTAAACTGCACTTGGCTCTACTCGTTGCCATTCACCGCGTCGCTATACACCGTGTGTACAACAACGTTTCAGCAGCTCGTTTTGTTAACACGTGTCAGGAAATGGGTGAACAGGGTTCGGCTTAAGGAAATGAATCCTTCCTTCCTACTCGAAGGTGAAAACGCAAATTACGCAAGACTCCGTCGAAACAGCGACGATTCAAACGGAACAACGTCATTATGCTGTTTCAGTCACACTCTGACAGGCGTTAATTACGCGTTAATTGATCCGCGGGGAACGCTTTCGAAACCTCGTTACCCGGTGGCCACGCGAGAAATTCTATTTATTGTAAACGATTCGCGTTACGAAACTTACTTATACGAGGCTTTACTTGCTGTAAAGACAGCTGGTTGGAATTCTCAGCTCCTAATGGAGGAAATAGAGTACAGGTTAATGGGATACACACGGTACCTAACTTTTACCTAAACTTCCTCCATTACATTATATTGAATTTTCATAAAAATAGAGAGTATTTTATATCTCATCACTTTAGCGACAGATCATGTCCATCTATGAATTAAAATGATACGATATCTGTCTATCCATTTGGTTAATCAATATTCCATCTGCTAGAGAGATAGCGGTAAGTCGGCATAAGGGAAATTCAGAGAAACGTGGTTGCACATCGCGGTCGCGGAGAATTACTCGAGAAACCAGACATAAAACCTGGAGTTGTTACCGCGGATTGCAACGATGCGACCGACAGTGCTTAACTTTTCATTCGTACGGAAACTTCAATTTCAACTTTTCCTCTCCACGGTGTTTCGTCTACCTATACGCGTACATTTTTGGCGTCTTCCTCGACGCTTCGTTTTCGTATCAACCCCGATATCAATGGGAAAGTTGAAGCGCCACTCGTTGCAACCCTCCTCGACGACGAGGGCGGTCGTCGACGAAGTGAATCGACGAGTGGCTCTGCTCTACCGTTCGATGAATTCTGGACAACGAGAGCAGCGGGATGGCTCGTAAAAAATGATCGTAGCTGATCGTAAAAACGAAACGAGCTAGAAGGGGTGGGCTTCGGTGGTGTACGCGGCCTCCCGTATACGCTTCGAGCTAACTTTTCGCGGATATGGGATGTAAGCAACAACGATACGCGGAATTTCACGGAAAAATCTACTCTGTCAGATTATACGAGTCTTTCCAGTCCTGCGAGATAAACCTTCCTGTTAGTATTCTTTTTATTATGATTTCATGGGTGAAACACCGGTGGACGTCATTCCGTTTCTGCAGCTGGATATTAGGAAATAAAAGACACGATAGGGTAACGTATGAAGTTATTGATCCCTGGATAATGATTGTACTTTCTTCTAAAAAAGTAGAAAATATAATCCTATAATAAACTGTATTTCTATTTGGAACAAAAAGCGTTATTTTTAAACAAGAGTTCCAGGGATTGGAAGAATGATTTTTAAAGGGATAATGTTAAATTTTTAATTTAGAATGGAAGATCTTTAAGGGTAATGTTCGTTTCACATTTTTCTTTCATTTTCACGCTAAGTAAAGTAAACTAGTAAAGCTTAGTCACGTGTTAGAGTTAATCTGCATATTGGCTGCAGGTTGCATCAAAAGTCATAAAATATAGTTAGTGTGTACATATCCCATTCCCAAGTAAAATACCTGCGCGAAGTTACCTTAATCCTCCAATTAATTATATCACTGTAGACGAAGTTTATGATACAGACGCATTTACTGGGTCATTTACGAACGAAATACTTGCTCCCTATCTTTGTTTATAACAAAGTACCTGTAGAATATTTGCCTCGCGATTAAAACATTTTGGTTTAATTAACTATAGAGACAAAGAAGGGACTTTAATTTACTGAATTGTGAATTATTAAAGGTAATCGTTAATTGAGATTAGTTCATCAATGAATTTTCAGTTTAGTATTCAAGGAACTTTTCATTGTCTGAATCAAGTCTATTTCAGCAAGTGTATTTGACTTGATCTTATAGTGGACAAATAAGAGACAACGGAGTGCACCTAACAAACTTAGTCACTCAGGCAATTGCTGGAATTGATTTGAACTGACTATTTCAATTAGAGTAATTCACTTAGCAATTTTGTTTGAAGAATTGGTAAGTGGACTTTTCAAAGTAATAAACAAACACTAATTCTTAATGAAACCCTTCTGTGTCATAGAATTCATTTTGTAAGATTAATTTTGACGTTATTTTTGCAAGAAATAAACTCATTATCAGAGTATAAAATTTTGATAGAATATTTTATAAAGGGTAATTACCAAGAAAACTTAACCGTATGAATCCAGCAAGCGTTTAAACAAAGAATACAAATCAGGTTAAAGCCAATATTTATGCAGCCCCATACACAGTTCATATCGATCTCGACAGCTGTGCTTAAAATAATGCACGTTTCTGTGTAGATTTAATGGGCGGTTTAGGTTGGTAAGTGCAGTAATTTAGAATACGATTCCATGACCATACCACCGACTCGTTAATTATTCGAGAACGATACCGCCCATAGGTATCGAACACTTTACAACCTTTCATGCAATTTACTTATTGACGTTTTCAAACAAAGTATCCAGGACGTTTATGCTTCGAATAAAAGATTTAACTTTCAAAACGATGCTAGGCTAAGTTGTACTAATTTTAGTATTGCACTAATCGTTGGCATTTGTAACTTTAAGCAAATGTTCGTAAAAAAATTACATGTCAACCATCGAATGGCAGACTAGGAAAAGAGCCACGATATTAATTAATTCTTGAACTTTACTTGCGCTTCAAAATTTCAGATGACTACTAAGTCATAGGTACTAAACCTAACCTCAAAAAAGTGGCACAATGATATCGTACTTACCGTCGTAGATCTTTTTCGAAGCAATTTACTCAAAGTGGTCACAATCAACTGGTTTCGGGTTATTTCAACAAAATCGGGTCAAGCAGTACTCATTTCAATCTAAAAGTAATAAGTAAATACGAAATACTTAGAGGAACGTCAAGTTTAGTTGTTACTAGTAACATTAATGATAATATTATAATTACGAGTGTCTAGTTTGTAGTTTGTACAAAATCATCGGATTACACTACTTGGATGGATCGTAATTACTTGGTGTATTCACAAGCAGAGTTGGTGACAGTTCGGAAAGCTGGGAGAACGTTGGATGCGGAGTAGGTCGTCTTAATAGCCCCAGAGACACGACTGGCACATATAATAATAGGGTACGTGGCGTTCCCTACTGGTCGTTGTTAACAAGACCGAAGGTGCGTAATGTATGCAAACACCGTTATGCTGAGCTCTCAGAAATGCACGAGTTACAATGTCTCGTCCAATAGCGTACGCCCTTTTCTTAGCGCGTTGCTTTTGTAATTTTCAAATACTATATAATACAAAGCTGTTAGGAAAATAGAAAAGAAAGCCAATTAAACTTCGGGCGAATTAAACTTGTAAATTTTAGAATAAAGTTTTAAGAACAAATTATTTAATGGAAATTAATATTCCACTTACCTGTTCATTTGTTATCTATTCTGGATTCAGTTTTTGTAAGCTGATGATGATCGAAGAATCGAAGTAGGTAGATTTTATTTGAATGAAAACAATAACTGCATCTACAAAATAATGTAAATATGAAAAAATGTTAACTTAAGGAAGATATGCATTTTGAGATAAATAATAATGACTAAAAGTATGAAATCAAATTTATAACACAATAGAATACTAAAATATCGATAATGAATTATGATCAATTGCACATAATTCGCAGTAATAAATCTATTTGCAATATCAGCAAATAAATTTATAGTATTTTAGTACCTCGTATTTCTTGCCTGTAATAAATTTTGCAAAAGAAAAAACAAAACATAAGATTAACACAAATGCCAAATTAAATTTATATTCAAGCATTATAATACACAAAAAATATAGCATCAAAATTACAATCAGAAGTTGATCGAGGTAATATCTAGCTCAGTCTAGAAATAATGGAAACCAAGAGAAAGGAGTTATTTTTCAAATAATATTGAAAAAAGAAATCCATATTCGAATAAATTTTCATCTATTATCTGTTATTCTAATAAAACATAAACCAACACTAGCTAAAACGAAAGAAATACGTTCAATAGTTCGGCGTTTCACGCTCGAATAAAATTTTCATAGGACTTTCACCAACGTGGATGCACTAAGATTTCTTTCACGTTCGAAATGGAAACGCGACGGTCAATGCGATCACGCGATCGCTTTCATTCGGCTCACGTGCGACCGAAATTTCGGCTCCTCGTTTCCTACGTTTTTCTCTCCTCTCTTAATAAAGAGAGGATCAGGGAAAAGGGTGGGACGACAAGTGGTCGAGACTCGTTTCTGTAAAACAGATGAAACGTATTCTCTTTATTTCGTATGCCATCGAGTATTTATCTTACGTGACCGAACAATCCTCTCTTAACGTGACTTCATTTGTATCACGTTTTTATTTTTTTTTTCCAACGAATGAAATTCGGACATCGGTGAACTATCCACTAGGTCCAGGCAGTGTAGCCTATTTACAATAGATCTTTGTACAAAAACTAATCTCATATAAACAGTAAAACGCACGAGACCCGTGCCGTGAACGGGAACAAACATCTAAGTTACTTGTGGCTTCGACGACTCTGTTTCGTCAAATTTCTCACCTCCTCTAAATAAAGTTTCTCCTCGTTGAGATGCTATTATAAAAATTCTCCAGGTAGAAAAAGAACGAACAATTGAACGTGGATTCGTTACGTCCAGTTCGCTTTTAATCGTTGACGTTTCATTAACTTTTCCCGGACACTCGCGACATTCTTATATCGTTCTTCCGACGAGAGTCGAATAAATGCAGTATTCTCGTTCCCGTCTCACGGCGACTCGGAAAAATTTTTCCCTCGAATTTTTGTACAACGAACGTTCGCGGTGTATCGTGAAATCGCTTGGAAATTTAACACGTCGACCTGTAGGAAGACGGAACGTGCTACGGCGATTTATTTATTTAAGCCTGAAACGTTATTGACGGAGAAATGGAAACAGTTTGAAACGTTCAGAAAGATGTTCCTCTGTTTCCCGGCAGAGACTTCGCACCGTTTATATACAACTCTCCTGTATTCGATTCGAACGCGTCACCACTTCCGGCTGATGGAACTTCCCCTGGGCTGACACCGACGAGGTAACTGGCCTCTGCGGCATCGACGACAACCCCTTGCTCGACCTCTGCAGACTGTAATAGACCTGCAATCAATCGAACTAGTGCTTTGTTTTCAAGAATAAATTCATCTATTATTTGCGTCACCATTCGATACATCTGGGATATTTGTATTGATTCGTTAGGAAGCTGTTGAGTAATAGATTAATTAAGATTTAAATTTTCATTCACGACTGACACATCCGCTGACACGTTCGCTTTTCAACGGGTTAATTTCAGGCTCAAATGATTAAAATATTCTTTATGATAATTAACAGTATTAAAAATACGGAAAATGATGTTAAATTAGATTAATTTACAACTTCTGAAAAAGATATGTAATTTGAAATTAATTAGTAAGTTCTAATTATTAAATAGCGGCTTGAAATTAATTAAGATATCTCCTTTCTCTGTCACTCATTTTATATAAAGGAAATCATTTTTTTTGAGCTCGAGAGTAATTGGTTAAAGTTAATTAACTTCTTATGGATTTAATCTGAAAATGGATTTCATAAAAATTTTCTAAATTATTTAACGTGGTCAAACGGATACCAATTGCATGAAACGAATAAAGGAATAATTACGAGAAGGTGTTTGTGAATAAAATTTGAGTATTTTGTTACGAATGAGGAAAACAGCTGGCATTAATAGCGGTTTAAACTTCCACAAAATTGAATTTTACTTAATTACCTTAGGTGAAATGTTTCATATTTCGAGGAAAGTTAATTCTTGTTTGCGAAACCTTTCCAAAGGTAAATATTCTTTGCCTTTCATTTTTAATCTTAATTAAGGTTTTTCATTTCAACCATATTATTACGTGATTGCTTTCAGTTTCTTCCCTTTAGTTAGCAAATAATTTTCAATTATTAATTTAACTTTCATGAAACCAGGCTATTCATAATTATAAATGAAATATCAAGAGATCATTAAAAATTCCAACTCCACGAATATTTCAATTCCAAAAAAAAGAGAAAAGAATAACCAAAAAAAATTGGCGATAAAATTACAGAAATGACGAAGCGAAGAAAGGGAATGGAAATGCAAATACATCAATAGTTGTGAAAATTGCAAATTTCGTGCGAAATTAATAATGGAATATCCAACGAGGCTGGAGTGTTGGATCGATGATGAAAATAATCGAAAACCGCGGAGGGTTATGTAATTCGAGGAAAACAAAAACACCGCAACGAAAACATCCCGAGGGAATATCGGGTCAGTTAATGAAGGGGGCCGCGTGGGTGGTAGAATCGGTATTAAAATCATTCAAACACTTAATGGAACGCGAGCAGCATCGAAGGGAAACGGAAGCCGAGTTCGAGACGAGTTACGCGCATCGGGACTGGCCCTCTCGAATTATCGAGGAAACTTCGACGTAATTAAACTCGCGGAAGCACAGATAACCCAAGGCTCTGCTAAACCGGAAAAGTTAAAGTGGAAGACTGGCGCATATTAAAGCGAGCGATCCCTCTTCTTGGCTCGTGTCCCGTCCTCGTCGTCTTCGAAACTTCGAATATTTAAAACAACCTTGTCGAGTTAGTCACGAAAGATGGTAGACCAAGAGAAAAATCAGAGAGGATCGATTCAACCGTTCCCTACCACGTATGCTGGGAATATTTGCATTGAAAAGTTGATGAAAATCCAACATTTTTAATAATAAAAAGATCGTTTCAAATAAAAATTGAAATTTCAGCATCAAACAACGAACTCACTTCAGAACAATTAATTCTCGGACGGCGAACCATGGAGAGAGCCCCAATTCAATAGCTCTTCAAGGGTTAAATGCCAAAGTTTCTATACCAAAAGCAAAAAATTCTATATAACTTTAGAAATATTAATTTTCCTTTCAAACAACGCGCTTTGCGATGGAAAAAATAAACATAATTCTCTTATTGAGTACTGTATCACGTTCTATCGATCGTTCAATGATTCAACGTTCTATTCCTCTGCCCTTCCCCGCCGCAGTGGCGAAGAGAACGTTAATTGCTTTTCATTAATCAAACAGTTTCGACTAAATACACTCTATTAGATGTCGCGAAAAAACGCCAATGAGTTTACGAGACTAATCGTCGGAATGATTTATGTATCTACTGGGACGATCCATTAACTTTGCTTCCGGAATATCCTTCATCTCGATTTAAAGATGGTGTTGTTCGTTTTCATATTATATGAAGAAAATCGTAAAGAATATTAAAATATACAGAATGAAGATAATCTACTTTTGCGAAACTCTTTTCTTCAATTTACACGATAATGAATATTGACGTGTAATTAATATCTTTATATAAATTAAAATATATTCGAGCACAGACTTCGTGTAGAATAACGATTAATTAATTCGGCATTAAATTAATTAACTAAAACGAATATCGGAAAATTGGCAAGTATCTACATTATTTTTGCTTCCGTTTGTTTAACCCGATATACATAAATTGATTTCCTATGATTTAAACCTCTATTCAAATGAAACAGCCATTGTTAACAAATAATTATTACTGTAACACTGATAATTTGATAAATATCATTACATTTATAATTTAAAAATTTTTTTAAAATAAATTTCTCTTCTTTCTAAATTATCAAATTAATTAGTATTCTGCTAGGGTTATACAAAAGAAATGATTTCCATAATTAGAAATTAAAGTAGTTTCTTACTTACGTTTTGATTATTTCGCTGATTGTAAGCATCCATTGCCATCTGCTTGAAATCCGCCATGGTCGGTGGGTTGCTGTAAGTGTTCGTCTGCGAGACGTGATTCTGTGGGTAACTTATGGTCGGTGTTGGCAGGCAATCGGTCAACATCGGATCCGGCGGAAGATCTAAACCGTGTTGCACGATCGGCCTTTTCTCCGGCGAAATCGCCTCGTCCGTGACTCGATCCTTCTTTCTTCGTTGCGGGGGTGTCTTGTATATTGGGGTGTACGTTAGGGGTCTTCTCTCTGCGAATAGATTCGACGAAGCCATGCAAAGTTCCATATCCACTAAGAAGATTACTCGATTAAATCTAGAGAGCACCGGGTTCTTTACGCGAACAATAGTTCCGAAAGCAATATACTACCCTCCGTGTTTTGTAACGATACCTGCCACTTTAATCTTCTAATATCCGAATTCTTTATATTCGCGATCAAGTATTATACAAATAAAGTATTTTAAAATGAAATAAAAATTCATTAAAAATTATTGGTCATTGGCCACTGCTATAATAAAATAAAATTCAATTTAACCCCTGAATAGCGGAGCCTGGGTCAACCGTGACCCAAATTTGCAAAATTATTCATACAGAGATATTAACTTTAAACAGAGAAATTTTAATTAAAAAGAAATATTATACCTTACGGTACAATTCACTGATGACAAAGGAATAATTACTTTGATAAGTTACGAAGTAAAGAAGAAAATACAAGAGAAAAAAAAATTGCTTTGCGTCCCTTTATTCCGTACGATTCTTTTTTTTTTTTTTTCGATTTATATTTCATGTCAAAGCTTTCAATCGATACTCTGTCCACGTTCGTTCACATTAATGCTGAGATAATAACGCAGAAGTTTAATGAACACGCGTTGATCACTGTTCATTGTGGATAAAGGCATCGCATTTCCGATCTATTAATGTGTACTGAAGCGTATAAATTTAACCTGACAATGTATTTTGAAATTCACTGCTTCGCGACGTGGAAATATCATTGATGGAAAAAGAATAATGAAGCTTTTGTTATTAATAACCGCAAGAATTTAAATGAAGGTGGATAATGATATTGTACTTACAAACTATGGTGACGTTCGGTAACTATTTTCCTTTCATCAATATTTGTAAATTAAGATTTAATTATTTTGAAATTTAATTTTAAGGAAAAAGTCTATTTACAAAGAAACCACGGTTGCGAGTTGATTGAATATCCAAAAATTAAAATTAAATGTTTCAAGAATATAAAAAAAGTTGATTGTTCATGAGTGTATTGAAAATTCATTTAGATACTAAAACTTACTATTTTTAAGATTGTCCTTCAGAGAGTAGGTACATGTAGAAGAAAATAGGGCATCTAATTATGTGTCTTATGCGAAAAGGGCTTGAGTGAAATTTTAAATAAGCCAAAGTATAAAAAATGGAGGATGTAAACACTTTGAAGATTTTGAAAATTCCTATTTTCCCTATAACACTATTTTTCCTAGGAAAACCTGATTTAATGCCTCTGGTGGTACAAACATATAACAGAAATGAACAATTTATATTAAATTCATCCATTTATTTAACATCCTACTTATTTTAGATTTATGTAAAATTTTCAAGCTTTGTAATGCTTATGAATGACAATGTACACGTTAAACTGCACCCCCAGGTAAATCCCATAAAGCTATATGTTCCAATTGCAATCCACAAAACAAAGAAACGAGACAAGAATGGAACAATTTGCTTCGATAATCCAAGGAATTGCACGACTGGGGAGCACGTATACATATAAATCGCGTGTAATCGGCCAACAAATGTTCCATTTACATGAATTGTAACCATCGATCGGGTCAAAGAGGCGTAATTGAACAACCGATGAAGTTATAAATAACTAAACGCATGGATTAAAGCATTGCACACCGATATTCAAGCAACTCTGCTTCGTTATAGCTTGCTCACTTGGCAATATTTAATTAATCAAAAATTTCGGTATACTTCAATTAAAATTATAGGGTCTAATATTCTACATATCTAACACTGCTCCATCTAACACTATTATTAAAATCACTGCTATCATAATATTGGGAATATTTTTTTAATTACCATTATTTACACCTGAAACCCTTACACAATACAAAATGTAAATTTTCCATATTGCAATTTATTGTCAATTCATCCCTATCTAATTTCCATTCCTAACATCCTTATGTCAAGTTGTCGAAATGATTGAAAAGAAATGAACACCCTATATATTTAGTGCAACCAATGCATCTGTATTTGCGCGGGCCGTAATTTGGCGCACGTTTGAAACAATCGGAAAGCCGTAGACTCACCATACTCGTTGGGTATGATGTCCGGATCGATGTCATCGACCGCCTGCTTGGTCTGAGGGTGGACCGGGGTAGTTGCACCTGCATTAGGTGGCTCGCACACGATCGGAGCGTGCTTCGGACTTCCGGGCCGGCCGTTTGAGTGCTTCCGGTAGAGCGCCGCCAGGATTCCCGTTACGGCCAGGGCCAAAAGGGTCGCCGTCGCTGCCAGGCCCAACAGCAATGGACTCAGCATCGAGGCGTCCGTGGTGCCTGTCACAGAACAGCAATGCAAAATGCTCCATCAACCGGAACTTCTATCGAGCTATCATCTGTTCTTCCATCCTCTGTTTCGTCCCTGCTTCCACGATTATTGCGGCAAGTATATTTTTACCCATCGTCAAACACCCCCGCTTTCTCCTCGATCGTTCCCACCACCGAAACTCCAATTTCACTCGGGCGCCGCTGCTAAATTTATTGTTCGCCCGGCATTGTTTCCTTTCGCGCTAAACTTCGAACAGGTTACGTTCGTTGTTTCAACGGAATGCTGTTTCGTTTTCAAAGTATTTGCTGTTAATCGCCCGAGGAAAGATTTATCGCAAACGCTATGGTTGTTGATATCTTTCGTTATTTCGGAATTCTATAATTAGATGCAGAAAGGAAGAATTATTGTCTGCGCGTTCAATTGAGAGGAAACAGAGTAAAATTAACTGCTAATGTTAATTATGTGTGAAACTAAAGTGTAGTTATTTTGTTAATCGTTAAATATAAACATATATCTAGTTCTTTAATTGTCCCGATGCACCATTGGTATTGATAGATCAAAATTAAGAATAAAACTAGTAGATTAGGTCAACCATTGGTCAGACGCATGCGATTATTTCACTTATATCGCACGTAGGACGCTATTTTTCGTTCTATTTCTACCTGGAAATCATATTTTATTATATTTTCTTTTTGTTATACTCAGAATTACGTAACAAGTCAGTCTTGTTTTCAAACCACAAAAAAAAAAAAAATGAAAATTCCGTAACTATGCGTTACAAGAGCCACCTGATGTGCACCTGCAATGTCTAATTAGAACGGTGTCCGAAATAAGCAAAGATCAAGCGATGTACCCTGTAATGAACGAAAATTTCGTGCTCGCCACATACCGTCCCTAATAGAGGGCCGTGTCCGACCGCGTCATTATTCTCGCCCATACTCTTCTCGTTGACCGAGAGAGCGGGTAAGAGCGTCGCTATATCGGGGGCAGGTAAACTTAATAAGCAGACGATAATTAACGAAGGTATGTCAATTATGATGCTATTACGGTTCAGTCAGTGTACGTATATAATTAGACGAACGTTCTTGCATTGGCCTCTCTCGATATGCATCGCGCCGGCAACTCGTCCGCTTTGACTGGCTGAGCACGTGGAAGCTTGCAGGTGCGTGCGTGCAGACGCGTGAAAGCGTATGCACGCGCCACTGCAGGGGGTGAATCGTAAATCAGCCGTTAGGAGCCGCAGTCGCTTTGGGCTCTAATGGGGGTAAAGCTAGCCGCTTCGATGTTACGCGTTGTAAATTTTGTCCGGTGCGTAAGCGTTGTAAATTATTAACGCCTGCTTCGCTTGGCTTCGTCGGAGCCGATTTTTTTTAGCATAGAACGAACGAACGTGACGAGCACCGATACCGGCTGCTAATTGGTGTTTGCGCGAAAATGTTTGCGCCACGTGAGTACCGATAAGGCTGTTTGATTTCGTTTTATCGCGTGTTTACCGACTGTTAGTTGGCCGGATTATTTATTAACGATTAATTGGAAATTTTTTCGAAAGGATCGATAATAGTTAATAGCGCGACGAGAAAATTATTATATCCCTTAAAAGGGAGCCTTTGATGCTCCGCGCAAAGACACGGTAATATAAACACTGTCGAATGCTCTTTCGAAAATTTATGCAAGAAAATTAACGTCCTCTTCTTATTATAATTTGTAACGAAGAAATTAAAATAAAAGATAAATTGCGAAAACTCTCCGTAAAAGTTTCCAGGAAGCTTTAGAATTTTATATCGAGAGAGGACCGCGTCAACCGCTCGATTAACCCAGCACTTTTTATTCATTCGGATGCTGAAACCAAGAAACAACTCGAGAATTTGACTAATACCAGCTTCTCGAATTTATGCGCTGGAAGGAACGTTTAAGTTTCAAGCGGGCGTACCGTTTATAGCTCGAACACCGCGCTCGTTCCAGCTGCATTTACGTTTTAATACTCCTTGGGATAAAAAAAGAGAATGAAAGTAGTAAAAAAAAAATAGAGAACGGAACCGCAGAAAGCATGAATTTCTTGCTGTTTCTGAAATAAAAAAAAAAAAAAAAACACTAGAGAGAAACGACTCTGGCATGGTCGCGCAACAGTTGAAACAGACGTTTTCCATCGAAACGGAATTACGATTCTGGGAAAAGTAATTAGCGACTTTGCAAACGAAATGACAGAAAAGAAATAGAAAATACATGTACACAGGTGAACGGAATAATTCTTTCGTACGCATTGGACAAATCGCTTTCGCGTGTCTCACAGTAAATTCCATTCCCTCCGCTAAATGAACATTCGAACGTTTTCTCTTCTTAACGAACCGACGCAGGAAATACGAAATTATTATTAACTAAAATTCCACGAGCAAGAGGGAGGCTATTGTACGGTGCGTTCAAAGGCAGCACACCGGGGAATTAAATTAAATAACGCAGAAATAGTGGCGCAGAAACGTTCTCTTTCAATTCTGCCTATTACATTTACATTTTCTCTGTAACCGAGTTTAACTCGTTACGGTCGCTGTTGTGAAATTAAATTGCGCAGAGGATAATGCGATACGAACCTTTTTCCAAATATTATTTCGTTTGTCAAAAAATTAAATTCAGTTTGCAATGAGAATAACGAGGCTGACGTGTTGAGTAATTTTGAAAATATCCAACTTTTCCAGTGCTTCATGGAGTAATTTAATAATTAACGGGTTTTATAATGTTGTAAGGAGGCACAAGAAGAACATATTAAAATTGAATTAAAATTGTGGCTCCCTCCATCGAGGGTTAATTAAATTTGATTTAAAAATGAATAATTTTCATACGAGTATTTGGAAGGAGCGTTTCGCAAATATTAACTTTGTCATTTGAAATTTGTTAAAAACGTTTCCCTCCGTCTACAAATATACATAATGACTGAAATTCAGCGAGTAGTAAATGACGTGGAAAAAATTCGGATAGGAAGTCTGAGATTCTTGAAAGGAATCATAAATCCACTGTTATCTTCAGCTGTTGCCAGAGAATAATTCGCGTGAAATCTCCGTACTGGACGAGAGTCCTGGGAGCATTTGTGATACTCGTTAAAGTTTGATTAGACTTTGATTGCCGGCAGAAAGCGGACCAATTTAAACTCCACCTCGAGAGCCGACCGGCAGACTTGTACAGGATAAAAAGCAGAGAGAAATAGAGGGTGGAGGAAAGGGGGGTGTTGAAATGGCGGGAGGACATTCGGTGATCAAGCGAGTGTTGCGTCTCGCCTGAAATTCTATGGAAGAATTTAGCGAGAAGTCAAGCCTGTCCGGCTGTCTTTCTCTTGTACCGACGTGTAGACAGCTGTTTACACCGGAATATGTCCCCAGCCTCGAGCGTAATTAAACTTTTTCCACCGCGAAATTGGTTGCTCGCCACTCTCGCTTCTGTCCCTTCGGATAACCCTGCAGTATGCTGGACGGGAGATTAATCGATTGCCGTGGAAAATGGTAAAGGCGAAATTGTCGGGACGTAGAAAAACAGAAAAGAAAAATAGCCATTTTGAGTGGAAGCATTATCAGAGACGGAGGAACTTTGCTAAGTGGTGCAACGTGCACCGGACAATTGATTTTGTTAACACTGCTGAGGAGGACTGGTAATTAAGATTTTAGGGAGATTTTTAAAACTTTGTCTAAAAGGTGAGAAATATACGAACTTTCAAAATATCTCGAGCAATGAAAAATGGTAGTTAGAATATTTTAATTAAAGAGAGTAATATTAGCAAATTTTAATGACCATCGAAGTTAAAATTTAATCTAGGCTAATAAACATAATGCAACATTTCTATCACCACTAAACGTATTTCACCCTTAATTGGTCCCTAGCTTCAAGAAACTACAAAATCTCTCGGAAAATTGCGTGTAGGTATACTCTTTTCTACACCGTCCCTCTGTCGTCTAATTCCGAAGACAAACCTAAAGAAACAACTGGTAAGTAAACCTGAGCTTAAACGAATAACTCACTTTGTTTCCACTTTCGAACTACCGAGACAAAGTTAATTTACCGTGCGAGATACAGTAACCGGAACAAATAAACGAGCCGAAAGTGAACGAAACATTTTCAGCTACTGTAATCTACCTGTAGAAAACTGTATTTTGTACTTCGATATACAATTAGAATTTCCTGTTCACGAATAACTGTCTAAACGAGGCACGAGTTAAACGATAGAATAGGATTGTAAGATCTCGACTATTCCCATTGCTGGGTCAAACATGCTCAGCCGGTTTAAATACGTTTGCTGGACTGTTTGCGTTGTAACTCGTGAGCCTGGCTAGCGACCGTTCCATTACTAATTGCGGCAGAAACACGAGCAAATAATGAAGCAACGACGAGAACAGGCAACGCCACGTCCACTGTGGCCAAATATTGATATACCTACTGTTAGGTTGCGGTAACGACGCCGAACTTACGGCAACAACAAACGAGGCTGCCTTTTATAGAGCAAATAACCCGGTAAATAGGCGGTGAAATTCTTAGCATAGACGGTGCATAACCAACAACGACGTTACGTGCCACAACATTTTCACCCTCGCCTCCGTTGAATATTTAGGCAGAAGCTTTTCGAAAATATGTCCCTTAATAACGGCCCAGCTATTTCCTTCCATGATGCGTTTATAAAAGAATAATGGATTTTTAGAGATAAAGGCGAAAATTAATTATCTCGATCCTTTTTAAACATTTACTTATTGTTGATTCAAATCCTGTGGGACGTTACAGATATTTTTAGTACATCTACTGCTGTTATTGTATCAAATTAACTTGAAACTAATGAATGAAAGGAAATATCTTGTAGAATACATTTACAATCGCTAACGAGGGAGTTTCGAGTTTCCCTACTTTGTCAGATAATTCAATCGTCCCGCGTTAACAGTCAATATCGATAATGTTATTCAATTACGTACGTATCCATTGATCTTAATTTCCGGTATTAATTAATCCATTATCAATCCAACAACGTCAAACTATTTGA